TCTTCACAGCGTAATTTTCAAGTGTCTAGTGTTATAAAGTTATGATGTAAACGTGTCTCGTGTGTCGAACATTTGTATTCACAAGATCGGTGGGTATGTATTACTTCAAAGGTCATTGTTTGTTGATACAGCTAAAATTAAAATTGACTTGCGCATGTGTGCGTGCATAGCGCGTCGGGCTCTGCCGCGCTTAGTTTGTGTGCGTAACTAAATGTCAGAATTCTCGGAAATTGTTACGGGTGTTCGTTGCCTTGCCGCGGTCGCTCGATACAGGTATCAGGTAAATTCTGGCACCCCGGGATCGACAATAACTCAGTGCTAACAAGTGGCTGAATACAATACAACTTCTGAACCCTTCGAAATTTGAAATTTTATAAAAAAAGTGTTTTTCTTCCTGCTCTAGTGAGTACCGTCGTGATAAGTTTTGCAAGTGTGAATAAGTTTATTTGTGGTTATTCTTTGTTTTTAGTGCTAATGATCTATATATGAAATTATTATTTACTATATAGTTTCATACAATGAGTCATTTTTTATAACTATCCATTAAAAGTTAGTATCTGTGATCAGTCATACAACAATATGTTTAAGTTTTTCCTTTTAAGTACTTATTGAGTTTTTGAGTTGTTGCCCTGGCTAAATTCTTTTATTTATGGTCAGCTCAACATATTTTTCTTCAGTCTTAACCTTCCCTCATCACAAAATATTTTTTTTGTAATATGCAAACTTTTTTTTCACATCACAAAAAAATCTCATTATAATGTAATTATTTTTATATAATATAGTTGTGTACAATTTTTTTTAATTTTTTTATTTCAATATATCGAATAATGTTTCGATGTTAAATCTAAACTTATCTACTACATTCACTGTATCTTATTTATTAATCACCAAATTAATTTAGTTTATTAATTTTATATTTAGACACATTAGTATCTGTAATATGCCAATAATTATAATTGATTTTAAAGAAGGAAAGTTATTAATTTGATATGTAATGAAATTTAATTGAAATGGTATAATACCTATATTTGTTTAAATGGGCTTCTAAATATGTTTGTAAAATTTATTTATGTCTGTATGTTTGTACACTTGCTTCTTGCAATTGAGGATTTCAAAAACAAGCATATTTTTTTGTTTGATAAATTTATGCTAATGGTAAAAGTATCGTAGAACTGATTTCTAGTTTACAGTAGTTTTTTTAGATATAAAAACTATTAAATTTTTAATATTTTAAAAAGGAATTAAATTTTTGAATAAGACAAAAAAATTGTTGGTTTTAAATTAATAATGGTAATAATATTAAGGAAATCAAGTATTTTCTGGTTAGAGTATTATTAATTAACGCAGCTGATTTCTGAATTGAGAATAGTTTTCCATTATTTCTTCACTCCTAATAGTTGCAGCGTGATGTTATATAGCCTAAAGTCTTCCTCAATAAATGTTCTATTCAACACAAAAATACTTTTTCAATTCGAACCAGTAGTTCCTGAGATTAGCGCATTCAAACAAACTCTTCAGCTTTATAATATTAGTTCTCAATAACATAAGTTTTTAAGTTTCACAAGGCAAAAAGTCCTAGTTCTATCAAACTTGTACCAACTGATTATTGTAAAACTAAAATCAGAAATGAAAACCCGTGTAAGTGACATTTACGTATAGTTTTAAGATATTCTTAACTTTAAATTCTCAATTCAGTAACTGGGTGATATACTATTGTAATTATTTATTCTTAATACAAAATATTTAAAACATCCACTTGGTCCCTGGCACCCTGAGATGGGAATTGAACCCACAACCTTTCGCAATCCGGGCGACTGCTCTAACCACTGAGCTAGGACCAAACAGGGCTGACGAATCTTTCAAGCACTTGTTACTTTTCGCTACTACAGAGCGAACAAAACTATTGTAATAAATTTTTATGTATTAATTGTAACTAGCTGCTTGACTTGGCTCATATGAATTGTTGTCTACATATCTATATAGTGTATGTTATGGCTTTTGGGAATAGGGGATTATTTTTAAACCAGTCCAGTAGTTTCAGAGCCTGTTTGATGCAAACAAATATTTCTTCTTTATAAGTATTGATAAAAAATATACAATAGATATGTAAAAATGTTAAATTAAATATATATCATTTGTCAGTATACATAATGGGTATACATAAAAAAATTTGGTCAGTACACAAAATTTAATACTGAGTGTGTTATGGGAATTATAATTACATATTTCCCGTAGCCGAGTGGTTCGCACACCGGTTTCAAGGCGTCGCCATCTCTGAGGTCCCGGGTGCGATTCCCGGTCGGGTCAATGTAGAAAATGAACTTTTCTATATTGTCTCGTGTCTGGGTGTTGTGATACCTTCGTTGTCTCAGATACTCCATAATACGGAGGCTTTAGCTACTCTTCTTGGAATCTGAGCAATGTATATGATGTTTGTTTAATAATAATAATATTTTTTAATCATGATGCTGCTTATTATATAACTACTGTACACAATGTTGATGACAGTTTTTTGAATGGATGTTTGAATAAACACTGTTAAGAAAAATTTATTATAATAATTTTAATAGCAAAACCGGCATTAGGATTTCTTGCTGGCAACCATAAGATAGAGTAGTATGGTGGCGTAGTGGATAAACGCCGCTCCGCGATCGCTGTGGTTAAGCAACTTTCGCTAGGGTTGATCACGGGATGGGTGACCAAAAAATTAATATCTCGAGCTACTCTGTGCTTCGGAAGGCACGATAAGCCGTTTGCATATTTGCAGTCTTAAATACCCTTCAATCTGCATTGGGCCAGCGTAGAGGGTCATGGCTAGTGTTGCCAGGTGTCCCGATTTACGCGGGACGTCCCGATTTTCAGGGGTCCGGGGACGTGTCCCGATTTGTACCTAATCGGGACGCTAAATGTCCCGAAAAATCAAGTATTTTTATAAAAAAAATATATATATTTTTTCATACTGTCAAATCCATTTTTGAAAGCCCCTAACTATATTTATCTATGTCTGAAAGCAAAAAAGCTACCAAACTAGTACTAATACTTGTTTTTTTGTCTGTCCCGATTTACAACCCCAAATCCCGATTAATTACACGCGCTGTCCCGATTAATAATAAATTGGATCTGGCAACACTAGTCATGGCCCATTCTGCTCAACCATCCATATGGAATACCTGGGTGGGGACGTAAAAGGACTGATGATGATGAACCGTAAGATAGGGTGTACGGTTACAGTAGAATTAAATTATCCATTTCAATGTTAAAACATAAAATAAGAAAAAATATAAAAATCTTCATAACATATGTTCTCTTATTAGGTATACTTGATCATAAGAAAAAAATTGTGTACTGATAACAAATTTTCCTGTACATCCTCAAACTCTGATAAGAACAGAGTTTAAAAAAGACTGTGTTGATATTTAAAATATTACTATCATTGTCTGTTATCTAACAGAGGTATTAATTTTTTTTTTATTTCTTTTACAGATAAGCCCCGACATAAGGACCTCTAAAATTTAAATCTATCAAAACGTAAGTATCTAATAGTTATTTAAGATACGAGTGCGGAAAGTAAGGTTTTACGAATAAGGGCCAAATTGCACGAATTCGTTAAACCTTTTACGCTCAAGGAAATAAAACAAATATATAGGTTAATAAAACTAAGTATGTATTAAAGGTAAAAATTATTTGTTAAAATTAAACGTGATATTTGAACATGTTTTCATGTCATACATTTTTATTTGAAAATATTCCTTCTAGGCTCCTTGAAATACTTTGCCTTTTAAGTTTCACATATTTTCATCAATTTTTTTTTAATTTCTTTGGTGCTCGGCCAAAAAACAATAAAAAAAATACTCTTAAGCACGTGTGCAGTAAAGGATTTCAGTACATTTTTATTTAACACGTGTTTAAAGACATTTCGGTGTTTACAATGGATTAAAAAAATAGCGCTTTATGAGCAACTGCATTGAAAAAGTTATATTTAACACTGTTTCTCAAACTTTACCCACGTTAATTATAGTCTATGTCAACCGCGTATTCGCTTCCCATAGATGAAATTATTTTTTAAAAAGGTTCACTAGTTTCGGAGCTAATTCAATGCAAACAAACATTTATTTGCTCTTTATAATGTATCTTCATTTATGGATACTATATTTAAAGCAATTTTGCTGCACAAACATTTTAGCTTCAATCCTGCCAAACAGCATTTTCAATTCTATATTATAACTAATGTAATTATAATTTTACTAGATGCCACAACAGACATTAATCAGAAATTAATAAGCAATAACTATTAATAGACAAGGAAGTTTATACAAATATATTAAGCCGGCTGGTAAAAAAAAAAAAAACTAATCTCGAGGATGAAATGTAGTAAAAATAATGAGTGATTTTATTAAGCCATGACATATTGGCCTACCGTAACTTTTTTGATACAATTTTTGAATATAGATTTTTTTTCAAACTAAGTAAGTCTAACGCTTCATTATGATACAGTATAAAAAAAAGCTTGTGCACTGATTACAAATGTTTCCAGTACGCAGTGGCGGACTGCAATGCATACATTTTAACTTTTTGATTTTGCGGATGGTCCCCTTAGTCTGCCACTGCTTGTATGTTTTTCAGTATCTCCGACAAACAAATTTTTGTTAAATTTAGTAAATTCATAGATCATTATCATCAGCCCTTTTACGTCTCCACTTACGAGCGGGGCTCAGGCCTTCCTTATGGATGGTTAAGGAGGATGGGCCATGACCCTCCACCCGGGCCCAATACCGATTGGAGGATGTTAATGACTGCAAATGCAGCCGGGACTGACGGCTTAACGAATCTTCCGAAGCAAGGAGTAACTTGTGATTGGAAATTTTCGGTCACCCAAGCAACATTCGCATGGGCCCTTGCGAAAGTTGCTTAACAATAATGATAGCGGGCCGGGGCGCTCGTACACTACGTCATTGAGCTGCAGATGGTGTGTTATAATTATAAAATTTTACAGATTAAAAATGTCGCTCTGGGCCAGAGCTCAGCAGTTGCCACCCGAGAGTTTGCAGAAGGTCAGTAATTTTATTTTTAAATGAAACTTTTCTTTGTTTATTACAAAACTAGTGGACGCCCGCGACTTCGTCCGCGTGGAAGTCGGTATCCCGTGGGAGTGAGAAGTTTTCCCAGTAAAAAGTACCCTATGTGTTATTCTGATGTATAACCTATATTGCTGTAAAGTTTTATCCAAATCCGTCCAGTAGTTTTTTCGTGAAAGAGTAACAAACATCCATACATCCATACTTACAAACTTTCGCCTTTATAATATTAATAGGATCTCCAAAATAATTTTAAAATACATGTCAAAAATTCTTCATGAAAATGCTTAAATAGCCATCAGCGCCTGGTACTCTTAATCACGTGAGGCTCTGAGGGGATTCGAGAAAAATCACTTAATATCATAAGGGTGTGGGGGGGGGGGAGGGTGTAGTAATATATCACGTGTATTTATCTTTTCCTCAATCTTGGGGTTACTGAAACGAAAAGCGACGTCAAAAATAAAGTAATCAGTCAAATCTGCGAAACAAATGTCAGGATTTCGAATAGGCCTGCTATTCTGTAAAAATTCAGACTCGAATTCGAATTAATTAATGTGTCCTGGTTCACGTCATTTAGTGTAGAAATTTTATTGATTCAATTTTTTTTGTATAAACGTACAAAACGAATTTCATTGATATACATGTCGCAGATATTCTATTCCTATGTCATTTTGAAACTCACTTCACTTATGCCACGAACCGTTATTACCAAGGTTAAGTGGAATAATCTTTTTGAAATTCGATTAAAAAAAGTAATTGCATTTTCTTTTTCATTTAATTTGAACATATGATTCAATTGAAAAAAAAAATTGTGGTAATATACTAATGTGATGCTTCCATAGGTATTTTATAGTCTTTGAAATGGTCCTAGTACTATCGGAGCCTGTTGAACGTCAACTATTAAACCTTTACTCTCTTCTTCGCCCGCGTTAATTATATATGTCGCCCACATATGATGTAACTTCCCGTAGGTAAAATAAGTTTTAAAATAGGTTTAATTCTTTGAGTCTATTTGAGTTTGAGAACAAACACAAAAAATCATCTATCAATCCGATAAAAGTGTGACGCTACTTATGCTTATGATTTATAGTTATTTTGTTAAACAGGTGCGAGCAATCTATGTAGATCAATTTCCTATTGAAGTTAGGCACTGCCTAGCGGCATGGATCGAGAGTAGAATATGGTGAGTATTACATAATATCATTTTAACTTTCAGTCGCGAATCTTTTTAAAGAAAGTCATTCAGAAATACGATTTGCCGCTCTCAATTTTGCCGCCTCAATTTTATTGCCGCTTTGGATCGGGCCCTGGTGATATTAGTATAGGTCAGTGTTTTACAAACTGTGCTCAATACACGACCCCTTTCCTGGCTGCATAAATTCTGACGACCCCTTGGGTCATAGAAAGACAAAAAAAATCATTCATTAACATTTCGAAACTATTATCACGATTTGATATTTTATTATACAAGCTTTCGCCCAACAGCTTTGCCGGCGTGGTCCCTAGAGAACTGTTTAATGGTATAAAAAGTAGCCCATTGTTAAACCAGCCTTAGAATTTAATTTAATAAATCATTTGAATAAAATTACTGTGACAAATTGAATAGTGAACGATGTTAATTATGGTAAAGTTTTAATTCTCTATACAAACTTCCACTTAAATTTTCATCCCTTTATTTGCTGTTTTTCGGAATAAAATATAGCCTATGTCCACCGCATATGATGTAGCTTCCCGCAGGTGAAAGAGTTTTGAAAATCGATCGAGTACTTTACGGGGCCTTTTCGTTGCAAAGAAACAAACTTCATCATTCTCACAAAATAATAGTGTTGTGTCCTACAAGTGAATATATAGATATCTATCAAGCGATAAGACCGCCCATTGTACAATATTTGCGAAAGATTGTTGTGTATTTGTCTCTTTTCTATTGTACAATAAAGAATATTATTATTATTATTTTTCTTGATTTCTCATCTTATTATTATATACCAATAGTTTTCAGTTAAATGTATCGGAAAATATGAATGATTTTTAATTTATTTACATTTTTAATTACATTATTTCTCTGTTATGGGCTATGTATTTATATGTATGTTTAAAATAGTAGTCAGCTACCCTAGTATTGCTTTGGTTAACTATTTAGAAACTTGACTTTTTTCGTTGGCGGCCCCCTAGGGGTCACAACCCATAGATTGGAAAACACTGGTATGTATAAGGTTTTTTTTAAACTGATGATCTGCAATTATTGTCTGGTATAGTCTCCTGCCGACCAGGACCCCTGAGCCGGAAGAACAGCAGAGATACTTCGTCGAAGAGCTGGTGCACGAGATAAACACTCATGCCGAACTCCTACTATCCTCGGACATGTTCGTCACCAGGATGAAGCTGTTGGAGGCTGCCAAAAATATACACTTGCAGTACAGGTCAGTTTACGGTGATGGTGTCGTGGTGGCTAATTTTTGTTTTCTTGTCTGTCTGTCGGGTGGATTGTTGAAGAATATCGAACGCGTATTCTTTTTCCGTAATCAACAAATTACGGCGACACGTAGAGCTCAAGTGTCGCGTGACGTCACGCCTTTGTACATTTTCTACGGAGTTCTGACTAATAATGCCAGTCGTCTAAGTCGTTTCTCGTTATATTGAAGTAAAAAAATCTATATATGTATGACGGCGGGTAGTCAGAAGGGGCTATTACAAAGCCCAAATAGATGGTCCATATCGGAGGACTATCTTTAAAATAACACTGCAGGCGTGTATACCAACGTGGATTTGTTACATTTTATCACTTTTCATACGAAAATATAACGAGATGAGCGTGATGTCGTCGGATGTCTTTACTCCTCGGCGATCGGAAACAGAATTTGTGCCAAAATGGCGGCAACTTGCTTTACATTAACGAACTGTCAAAGTCAGTGTTACCATTCTAATAAAATTAAAAGTATCGATGATCACGCCCTCTCTCCAATCGAGTAATTAAGAAATCGAGTAACTAACAATTAAAAAAAGAAACTAAATCAAACGATCTTCGTAAAGGTGATGGAGATATTCTGCGACATGTATCTAATATTTTTGTATTAACCGACTGATTGATTAAATAGAATTTCTTTTCATTTATCCATAAATCGTCCCTATTGTTGGCGATGTAATATTTTATGTACATCATCAGCACTTTCACGGCCCCACTGCGGGGACCCAGGCCTTCCTTATGAATGATTAAGGAGGATGGGCCAAGACCCTCCACGCTGGCCCAATGCGGATTGGAGGGTATAAACGACTGCAAATGCAGCCGGGACCAACGGCTTAACATAATAGTGAGAGATGACAACTTTCTTCGGTCACCCATCCCGTGACCGACCCTTGCGAAAGTTGCTTAACGAGTATGATCGCGGGCCGCGGCGCTTATCCACTTCGCCACTGTGCTACTCATATTTTTCACAAAGTATGTATACAAACCATGTATGTCGCTCAAAACAAATACATTTTCTAAATTAAGGTATTTAATTGGAAAATATAAAATATTTCCAAAAATTATTCTTCATATGTCTGAACATCTTTGTTTGTCAAATAAAAATATTATATATAAAAATATTTTTGAAATGTAAATAAGTCTTTACATTTCAGATATTTCAATACACAAGAATGAAGGCAATCATTCAGTAGATCATTCATTAAATAATTCAATGTTTCCCAACCCTATCAAATGTCAAAGGACATCATCCATTTTGGACCAAAAATAAAAAGTTGGAACACATTCGGAATAGGAAACTAATATTCATATTTTTATAATTATATTTGCTTAAAGAAACAACTAAAATGTTATATTTTTGTCAAGCTACGAGTACTTCACTTATTTTAGTTAATTATGTATTTCGAAAATGTATGAAGAAACAGAACTTTCTAATTCACATAAAAACAAATATAATATAATAAAATCAAAGACAAATTCTATAAGAATAACCTATACTTTTTTTTTGGCCGGCAATTTTACTTTTGGCCCAAAAATGTATGAAAATTGGATCATTTCTTTTATAAAGACGCCATATTTGTTTACTAGTTATCTTAAAATATGAAAAAACGTGGCTCGGTGGCGTAGAGGATAAGCGCCGCGGCCCGCGATCGTTATTGTTAAGCAACTTTCGCAAGTGTCGGTCACGGGATGGGTGACCAAAAAATTACTATCTCGAGTTACTCCGTGCTTCGGAAGGCACGTTAAGCAGTTGGTCCCGGCTGCGTTTGCAGTGGTTAATACCCTCCAATCCGCATTGGGTCTGCGTGGAGAGTCATGGCCCATCCTCCTTAACCATCCATAAGGAAGGCCTGAGCCGTTGCAGAGGGGATGAAAAAGGGCTGATAATGATATTGATAAAAAAAAACGGGCTATACATATTAACATAAGATATAAATAATATCAGACATCACATACAGTGCTCATATTTTAAAATGAGTAGCTCAAATACGGGGGTATATTATGTATATGAGACAACGGTGGTACCTCAACGCCCAGAGTCGAGACAATATATGGATGGCGACACATAGTAACGGCGTGCGAACCACTACTAAAGAGGTAGTCAAGTCTTATATTATGAACAAATATATATTGTATATTTTTTTTTAATTTTTGATTAGAAATATTATAATTTTATCCAATAATACATCATTGCAGCATATTTGGATATAAAAATTATTTTTAAACGACGAAATTTTCTAAAAAAAATATTTTTTTTTCATGTGGTTGTTCTGCCATCTAACTTTCAGTATTTTGCTATTGGACCTCTAGTAGTAGGGATTATGTCAGTTGGACAATAAAAAAAAATTAGATACATATTTTTTTTTTGCTTCAATTTAACAAGAAATAGCTTAGATAACAGGCATTAATGTTGAGGAGTGGGGGCTCGCTACGTCAGTTTTGTAGAAAACGTATAAAACATGACACATGACATTTTTACACAACGTAAATTAATGTTTAGATTAAAAATCAAAAGTATACGTGTTTAATATTTTCCAAAAATCTACCCGCTGGACTAATATAGGTATCATCGGTATTATAATGTATGTCGTCTTATGTACAGTCACGCACCTCAAGAGCTATACGCGTACATGCGCCGTTGTCTCGCTCTAGAAATGGAGGTAATACAAAATGCGATGGGGCCACAGTACGCGGCTCAGCCTCAGTCAGAACGCAAGTATAGTGAGGTGAGTGCTTATTGAATACAGGTGTCGATAGAATTAAATATTAAATATTTATTTTCCAGTTAATATACTTTTACCAGTAATCACACTTTTATGCTAATTAAATTTATAACTAGCTTTCCACCAGCGGCTTCGCGTGTTCTTGTATTATACATAAAAACATTCCTTTTGAATCACCCTATCTATGATAAAAACCGCATCAAAATCCGTTGCGTAGTTTTAAATATTTAAGCATACATACGGATATAGGGACAGAGGAAGGGACTTTGTTTTATACTATGTAGTGATGTTGCTTAAATTAATTATGAAAAGCAAATATTTTATACTCTTTGTCACGTGACGGCTAGGAGCGTGTGACGTCACAACTTTCTACTCATATCAATACTTAGAGAATTTAACCTTGTGCATACATAGAACGATATTAGTTTTAGAGGGCCATGACAGAAATTTTGAAAATTAAATTTGTTTTTAGATTTCATCTAATTATTTGAATGATATTATTTTTTTTTATATTTTTTGATAAATATATACCGGAGAGTAGCAGAAAGGGCTATTACGAAGCCCCAAATAGATCGTCCATATCGGGGGACTATCTTTAAAATAACACTGCACGCGTGTATACCAACGTGGATTTGTTCCATTTTATCACTTTTCATACGAAAATATAACGAGATGAGCGTGATGTCGTCGGATGTCTTTACTCCTCGGCGATCGGAAACAGAATGTGTGCCAAAATGGCGGCAACTTGCTTTTCGTAAACGAGCTGTCAACGTCAGTGTTACCATTCTAATAAAATTATAAGTATCGATGATCACGCTCGCTCTACAATCGAGTAACTATCAATTAAAAAAGAAACTAAATCAAACGATCTTCGTAACGATGATCGAGATATTCTACGACATATATATTACATGTATTGCTAAAATTATAAAAAATATGTAAAAGTTGACTACTCCCCTATCCCGAAAAGAACAAAATCACAATTGATTTTTAATAACTTATGTTTTATCAAACTGCTATCAATTGATCGTTTAAAAAATTAAAATTATTAAAATTATTTGGGTGACTCCTAAGTTTTTCACTAAGGTAAATGCGCCTAAGATGGTCTTGTCTTGTTACTGTTTTAGTACCTTGTGTGTGGAACTGCTTTCATGTTATGGGTTCGGTATAAAAAAATAAAGCCAATTGAGTTCCCAATCAGACAGTTTACTGCTTCACTGTTTTGAGAAAAGTAGTTCAAAGCTTTTATATGATATTAAACCACTACCAGATTTATTGTTCTCCAAAAAGTCTTATTAAATAAAGAATTTATATATACATATTTTATTGTCCAGCTAAAATAATCGGTGACATTTTGTAGCCGTGACACAAATTCGCATGTACAAACGTCAACATATCCTGCAAAACCACTGTACACGTGTTTGGCACTCGGTGGTTGGCACTGTAAGGTCTAATAACTCCTGAGGATGCCCCGTGGAATAACGAAACGTGTAGAGTGATGATTTAAAGGATTTGTTGCCGTTTGTACATGTGAATTTGTATGCGGACGGTACAAAGACAGCAGCTCTTGAGGATATCACAGTTCCACTTTTATAGCAATGGACTTTCGCAAAATAACGCTTGATTCCATTAAGAACTTTATACCATTGAACGTAAGAACTCTTTTGCAGCTGATCACGGGTCTTCAGACAGTCCGACAGACTGTTAACATGGTTAGTGAAGAGATAAGAAGTCTTCAAGCGAACATGGAGTCTTTCTCTCTGCAATACCACGAATGTATCAAGAATAAGGGTGAGTGTACACTATAACATAGAGTATACAAGTATTTCTTTAGTTTATTCCATTTATTTGCGTAAGATGTCTTTTTCAGCTTTTAAGTTTATATATACTACTTCTTAATTACGAAAAAAAAAATATCGATAACTTCTACCATTCTTATAATATTTAAACATTTATTATTATTATTATAGATTTATTTATTAAAATTAATTGTTATTTTGTTAAATAAATATTATTTTGGTATTCGTGCGTACCTTGTCACCTTAGGGTTTCAGCTCAAAATCAGTGTTTGGTACTCTTGTGCCTAACGTTATGCTGAGCCGATGGCTTATTTGGACTGGCTTTTTATAAAACATGTTTTTTTTTCCACTGAGTTTTATTGCGTTATTTATTATAATTATTAATATTATACTTTTTATGTAATTTATATAGATTTCAGTAAATGAGGTGGGTCACGGCTAACGTGACCATTTTTTGTTTATGTTCAAAATGGGACTCTATTGTTTACGCAAAATAAAAAAAAACTGTAGAAGACTTATTTTAATGCAATCTTCGAGCAATGCCTCTTCCTCGAAATATTTTGGGTTATAGTATATCCCGGGGATATTCTCAGGACTCCGGGACAAACATCCAGGAAACGGGACTTCTAGCTACATAATATCGCTAAAATGTCGTATCCTTTATTTAGAATCGAGGCTACAGAGTTAGGTGGTTGAACTGCAGATCTTCCTTACGCTAAACAAATCGAATAGGGAGAACGAGCCATGAGTAATGCAGTTATAAGTCCCGTTTCTCGGATGTCTGTCCCGGAGTCCCGGAGAAAATCCCGTGTTATAAGATAACTGCAATGATGAAATTTCCATGGTCTTCAGCAGGACATTAATAGATTGGTGATGGTAATATGATATGTTTGTTACATTAGGGCACATAAGCTATTTGCAGCAGGCCGGTCCCATGACTACTGAACGACGAGATCTCGAAGCATGCCTCCGAGTACAGATTGAAGAAATGGAGAGAAAACTGAATGTGCTGGTGAGTTGTATTTATAGATGTAAAAACGCTACTGACCGGTGAACCGTAAGTTAAACAGTGGACACACTCTCTCTCTCTCTCTCTCTCTCTCTTATGTCAATTTTATCTAACCTATGTTTTTATAACTCTCATTTCTGTAACTTGTTAAATCTCACTCTCCCTCTCACTTTCAACTGTCAATTTTATCTAACCTTCTAGTGTGTCTCATGTCTGTAACCTAATAAATTATCTCCCTCTCTCTCTCTCCCTCTCTCTTCCTCTCACGCTCTCTCTCAAATGTCAATTATATGTAACTTTATAGTGTGTATCATGGCTGCAACTTTATAAATCTCTCTCCATCTCCCTCCCTCGTCTCTCTACCTCCCTCTCTCAGTATAGTTTGTATGTGTAGGTTGCCCAGATTAATCAAGCTCAACTCCAGCTGGTCGATCATATGAAGGACAACATCGCGAACCTCCGACAGCTGCAGAGTCAGGTGTTGGACGAAGAGCTCATCAAGTCAGTCATTATGTTATTTTGCTAGCTTATTTCCTGCGAACTCGCCCGTGTATATTGTAGCATATATCATCCGCATAAAGTAGATTTTCTTAACGTGATTTTGAGTGATTAATTACTTGTTAATACACATATAAGGGGCCATCCATGAATTACGTCACACGTTAAGGGGGAGGAAGGGGGTCGACAAAGTGTGACATTGTGTGACAAGGGGGTGGGTGTGTGCCAAATTTCGTGACGTCACATTTCAAAATTTAAGTGTTAAAACACGAACTTTATAACTTTACAAATAACTTGCAAAATATGTGTCATCACGCAAGGAGGGGGGAGTCTTACAAATGTGACCAGCTGTGACTAGGACGGGGGGAGGGGCAAAAAGTAATGAAAATCGTGTGACGTAATTTATGGATGACCCCTAAGTTATAAGTGGCAAATTAAAATTTAGTTAACTGCTTATGAGCCTCATTAGAATTTAATTCTAACTCGCCATCTATTACTTATATGTATATTATTAATAAAAAATACTAGACAAGTAATTAATCACTTATATGTAAGTTAAAAAAACTATTTACTACTTAATTATGTGTAAACCAGCCTTAATGTCTAGTTTACACGGATTAAGTTTATAAATAGTTATTTAGATTGTTAATTCTAAATGATCAATGTGTGTTTACATTTGTAAATCATAAAACAGTTTAGTCGACTACTTATTAACTTAATACTTATAAACCATCCATAAATCAAAAGAATATTCGGTCCAGCATGTTCGAAGATTACCCCCCCCCCCACCCCCTCCACACACAAACAAACAAAGTTAGAAACTACCTCTTTATAATAATATTATACTTAACATTATTTTGTGGAATGCCATATCGTTCTAACGTAAATCCTAAGCCTTCAACGAGTTAATGAGTGGCCGTCTTTGTTGTTAAGCGATTTTCGTAAGGGCCGGAAACGGGATGGGTGATCAAAAAATTATGGAGCTGCTAAGTGCTTCGGAAGGCACATTAAGCCATTGGTCCCGGCCGTACAACACCTCCAAACGTTGGGCCCGCGTGGAGGGTCATGGCCCATCCTCATTAACCGTCCATAAAGATAATAGCCTAAGCCCCTGCAGTGGGGACCAGAATCCAGTTTTAAAAACTTCGAGGTTTCCACAGTATGTCTGATAGCCACATTGAAAAGAAGCTAAAAAAAGGGATACACCTCTTTTTATGACAAAGGTAAAATATACCTTAAAATAATAAGAAACGAACAAAAACGCAAAACTAAAAAATAATAAGCAAAAAAAGATGGCCTGCTGAAACAGTAGTGGGGAAAGCCACATTGAATTTTGAACTTTTCTTCTATGCATTAAGGCTTATAATCGAGTGACGCGCTCAACAAAGAAATATCTTTATTCATAGACATTTATTAATTAATTAGATGGAAACGCGAACAGCAATTGAGCGGGAACGGTGTCCCGATGCAATCGAACCTGAACACTATACAGGAATGGTGCGAATTACTCGCCGATCTCATATGGACGTCCAGACAGCAGGTCACCAATGTTGCCAGGATTAATAACAAGGCGATACACGAGTTGAGACAGCCGCATCTCGGCGAGATGCTCGACGATATGAGCAAGCAGGTGGGTGATAGATTGGATAGTCGTATAATAGAGTGATTAGTCGTTTGATAGATTGGATAGTCGTATAATAGAGTGATTAGTCGTTTGATAGATTGGATAGTCGTATAATAGAGTGATTAGTCGTTTAATAGAGTAATTGGTCGTATGATAGATAGATTAATCGTATCATAGATTTATCAGTCTTACAATAGAGTGATTAGTCGGTCGGCCGAGTGTTAGATTGGTTGGTAATTTATTAGTGACGGTCGTATAATAGATAAATTGGTCCTATTATAGATTGGACAGTATAATAGACTGGCTAGTCGTTCGGTCGTATGATAGAGTGATTGGTCGTTTATTTATTTAAATACACTTTATTGTATAACACACTACAGAAATTTATAAAACAAAAAATAAATATAAAAATCATAATTGTACAATTGGCGGCATTTTCGCATAACTAAATTGTGAGATGAAATCGTAATAATCAACGCTTAAATTTTTTTTTATTCGAAACTAATAAATACATATAAAATTGAGTAGTAGAGTGTTTTGTTTGAATCGCTTAATAGAGTGATCGGTCATATTATAGATTGGACAGTCGTACAATAGAGTCGTTAGTCGGTCGTCCTTATGATAGAGTGATTGGTCGTTTATTAGAGTGATAGGTCGTATGACAGATTGAATGACACATGACAATGACCTGTACTGTACTAGAAATCCTATATTTAAACTTTACCTCTATATTATTAGTATAGAATGTTGATATCGTGCTTAGGTGACCAGTCTCCTATCGACATTGGTGACATCTACCTTCGTTATAGAGAAACAACCTCCTCAAGTTATGAAAACCAACACACGGTAAGTTAATGAAACTTTTATTTAAGTTACATCCAGTTGCACAAACGTCCATTAAGGTTTAATGACACCTTTAAGCTCTAATGAATGTCAAAATTGTATGGGTGATGTCACATTAAACTAATGGGAACTTTAACGGACGTTTGTGCAACTCACTGTTAGTCAAGTTAGTGTTTTGTCAAATCTTGCAAGACGAATTTAACCCACTTCCTGGGGTCTAATAGCCTTTTTCGATGTCTATTGCAATCCCTTTCAATTTTTAATTATACATGCATTCACGAACTTCACGCCACAGCTATTTGACATGTGACAGCGATTGCGACCGCGACTTTTTTTTAAAGTTAATAGATGAACTAAATTGACAAATTCGACGTAAATTGTAGCGTTATAGTATGACCGTTTAAATGAGTCCTCGCCCGCGCGGTACAGGGGCGCGGGGTGTGACGACAAAGGGGACCGAGAGGGGGGCGGGCGGCGGGCGCATTTTTGTTTTTCCTCATTTCGATCGTTACGCGAGTAGCGAACACATGTGCTGATTTTTGCGGAGGCTTTGTGAGAGATATACATGAGATTACATTCTCAAGATGAATCGCAATATTTTCGGACATATGATTCTGATGACGGCAGCTTTGAAAGTGAAGAATCAAGTTCCACTGATATTGATATGGACATAAGTGATTGATTTATAATTTTGATAATTCTTGTATTTAATAAATAGTACAAAAGTTTATTACTAAATATTTTATTTAGTTACCTACACAAGTTACATTTTGTTTCTTTTAAATTTTATGTAATCATCAATTGATTTTCAAATAAAAAAAATCACAATTTGTTCACCGTTATCCACTATGTCGTCACATATCTTAGGATCTGTCTAGTGTGCATTTCGGATATGTTCCGATATACACTGCGACTACTGAACAGTATGACGTCAATTTAGTATACTGGAAGCCCGTTCCTTTATAGCTATATAGTTATACTGGTGACTTTTTAAAACGGAACGCAGTCCAGTATACTGTTAATCCTATTTTTTGGCGCCATTTTCAAATTTGTTAATGCAAGGTGAATATAAATATAAAGATTCCCTCTTTTCAAAAGAAAATTGGAAAATTGTATAAAAAAATTATTTATCAATTAAATCCATCTTATAAATAAACGTAAGTATTTTTTTTTTGTTTATTTAGAAACTTATCATTTTCTGATTCTGTTTCGACTGATCACGTGATCAAAAGCACTGCGAGCACCTTACCTCGAAATCTCCAGTGCTCACAGTACAAATATGGCGGCAATTTATGACGTCATAAATTTCCCTAAGGTACTGTAGCAGTGTACTGGCAGTCCATAACGGAACGGATTTTTCAGCAGTAAGACCACTGCGCAGTGCTCGCAGTGTATATCGGAACATATCCTACATTTCCGCCCGCCCCCCTCTCGGTCCCCTTTGTCGTCACACCCCGCGCCCCTGTACCGCGCGGGCGAGGACTCATTTAAACGGTCATACTATAGACGTAAATATCACTTTGAAAGCTAACGGCAAATGTCAAACGAAAGAGTTGAATGCTAAATGCAATCTTTCGATGGGTTAAACTAATTTTTTATTATACATTCCGACCGACCTCCGTAGCCGAGTGGTTCGCCGGTTTCAAGGTGTCGCCATCTCTGAGGTCCCGGGTTCGATTCCCGGTCGGGTCAATGTAGAAAATGAACTTTTTTATATTGACTCGAGTCTGGGTGTTGTGGTACCTTCGTTGTCTCAGATACTCCATAATACGGGGGCTTTAGCTACTCATCGTGGAATCTGAGCAATGTATGTGATGTTGTTAAATATTTATTTATTTATTTATTATTTAAGTCACAATTTTTTTCCAAAAGCGATAGTGACTTTAAAAATCACAATGACAATCGCAATCTATACCTTTGAAACGGATTGTGATAGATTTTAAATTAGACAATTAGCCAACTGAATTGATCTGGAAGGTTACCATGGGAACTTTGTAATTAAATAACGTTCAATAAAAGCTTGATTAAAAAAAAATGATTTTGAATTATTTTCTTCAATTTATATATTTTACCGGCGTGATATGTGTTGCCAGATAATTAATTATGCAATTTAAATTGTGGCATTTTTCAGCTTTACAGCTACAGTTAGATTACTAGTCGGAGGTCAATTGAATGTATATATGACACCACCTAGAGTCAGTGTAAGTACTGTAATTACTAATTAATTAATTTAAAAATATAATAATTTAGTTTAATAGCTCAGTAGTTAATGCGTACAGTCAGCGATATATGGAAGTTATGCAACTTTCGTAGAGGCCTGTGGTAGAATGGGTGACCAGAAATGTATTATCTCGTGCTCCTCTACGCTTCGGAAGGTGCGTTGTTGCGTTGGTCCCAGTTGCACTTGCAATCGTTAACACCAAACAATCCGCTCCGGTCCCAGTTGCCATGGCCCATCTTTGATTCCATCCTCAAGGAAGGTCTGTGATAGCTTGTTGTGTTTTTTTTGCAATCATGTACGCCATGCCAATTTGCAAATCCCCCCCCCCCCCCTTTCATGTCCCGAATGCAGGGGCTCAGTCCTTATGGATACAATGCGGACCCAATGCGGATCTGCGGGTATTGACGACCGCAAATGCTGATATCAACCGCTCGTCGTGCCTTTCCAAGCACGGAGGAGCTCGAGTTAAAAGAAATTCTGGTCACCCATCCCGTGACCGACCCTTGCAAAAGTTGCTTAACGACAACTTTTCTTTTCTATTTCAAAAGTATTACTTATTCTATTGGTTTTTTTACATTTATTATTATTTTAGGTGGTTATAATATCGGAGCAACAGGCACAGTTATTGCTGAAGAGTGAAACGCAGGCTGGTAAAGGTAAACAGCCAGTGGAATGCGGAGATATATTAAATAATAGCGGAGTGATGGAGTACCAGGCCACTAGTAGACAGCTAAGTGTCAGTTTTAGGTCAGTATTAAACGCTACACTACACTACACTATTAATACACATTATACTTATACTACATGCTAAATTACACTATATTATGAAATGAAAAATGTATTTATCTACACTCAAATCGAAAAATTCCAATTACAAATTCAAAGACGATTCTATAAATACGCACTTTATACACGCATATATATAACATTGAAAATAAAACTCATTATAGTACCGCTATCTTTTTTTACCTCATGAAACTAGTCTATGGTTTTAGGCTGAATATGAAAAAAAACGCACGCATGCGCAGCTCGAATGGTAAAAAATATGGCGCACGCATAAATTACTTCCTTGTAACCTACCTACTTTGTTTAATTAAAATTTGTTCTATGAGTGCATATAAAGTAGTGTATGAAACTGCATATAATTTAGGTATTAAAACACTCGAGTAAACCTATAATACAATATACATATAAACACACTCTCGTGTGTGTTCTTGTATGACAGTTGCATAAACTACTATTATTCAAGTAAGCTTGTTTCAAGCACTATTGATGTGTCCAAAACAATTTTATTTTCCCCCACCACTCGTTCAGGACGTCTTTTAGCTGACAAGAAAAACAAGCGAAAGAAACTTATCAGCTCTTTATGATAATCATGTTATTACCAAAATAGTACGTATTATAACAATAATAAATACAACTCTCATTGTAGCTCATAGGTCGGTACATATAATTAGTCGTTATAGAACAGAGTGAAGGCTATTAATTCCATGCATTGTGATCCTTAAAATAATCATTAACTTTATAATAGCCTTACTCATAAGTATGTTCTTTACATGAATTTTAAATTGATTTATGGGCAGGTCAATTACATTTTGTGGAACTTTAGCATAACTGTGAACATAGCAATGCATTTACCCAGAAATTATCCTCTGGTTTTTGATGTCTGAAGCTTGGAACGGCAAGTTTAACACACACACACACACACACACACACACACACACACACACACACTATTACTACAATATTTGGTATACTTCTCGTTTCACTATACTTCATTCTACATTATATTACATCCTAAATTACACCATACTACATGGTACATTATATTACATGCCAAATAATACTATACTACATGCTTATTTATACTACACTACATGCGACAGTACATTACAAAATATGGTTAATTATACGAGGGTGGTTTGAAAAGTTCTCAGCCTGACCGATATTTGTGGGTAGTATGTAAAATAATTTATTGTCATTTGACAGCTCGATTCTTTATATAATCGTATGTCAAGTGCCATTGTATTGAGACAAGGGGAGAATATGTAGAAAAATAAAACATGTTTTTGTTTTTATTTTCTTTGTTTTCTTGGTCGGGCCGAGAACTTTCCAAACCACCCTCGTACGTCACACTTTTGCTACACAATAATGTAAAATCATATACTATACTACATGGTAGTTGGTATATTATACATTATACTACATGCTAAATTATACAATATTACATGCTACAATATTTGGTATACTTCACTCTTCACTATACTTCATTCTACATTATATTACATGCTAATTTACACCAATATACTTCTGGCTTCATTGTAGTAGATGCTACTTTAAACTAAGTTGGCGGAAAGCTAGTTGTTAAGCTACATTAACAACTAGCTTTCCGCCAACTAGTTGTCCCTAGGGAACTGTTTATTTGGATATCGATTCATATCATGATACGGATATAATTAAAAGTGACAAATTGAATTGTAAATATTGGTTACTATGGTAACGTTTCAATTAAAACTTCCAATTTTTATCCCTTTATTTGCTGTTTTTCGGGATAAAAATTTAGCCTATGTTTACCGGATATAATGTAATTTCCCGTATGTGAAATAATTTTTAAAATGGTTCCAGTAGTTTCAGAATCTATTTGTCGCAAACAAACATTTAATCGAATCTTTTTATAATATTAGTATATATATATAGATGACATACATTACTTAGAATCCAAGATGAGTAGCTAAAGCTACCGTATTTTGGAGTATCTCAGAAAGGGTGGTACTATAACGCCCAGACACGAGGCAATATGGAAGTCATTTTTTTACATTGACCCGGGACCTAAGAGATGGCGTCACATTTTCACCTTTAACCTTGACTTTATAACAGGAATATGCAACTGCGTAAGATAAAACGAGCGGAGAAGAAAGGGACAGAGAGTGTGATGGACGAGAAGTTGACCCTATTATTTCAGTCCCAGTTCAACGTGGGAGGTGGTGAACTTGTATTTCAGGTAATATAGAATCGTTGTTGTTAAGCAACTTTCGCAATGGTCACTCACGGGATGGGTGACCGAAAGATTATTATCTCGACCTCCTACTTCTTTAAATACACGTTCAGTCATCAGTCTCTGGCTGCATTTGCAGGTGTTAACGCCCTCCAATCCGCATTGGGCCCGCGTGGAGGGTCACGGCCCTTTCCTTTTAACCATCCATATGGAAGGCCTGAGCCCCTGCAGTGGAGAAGGAAAAGGGTTATTATAGATATTTTAATATTCAATAGGAAATATGCGTCTGTTTAAAAAAATATAGGTTATATATTTTTGTTTGTATGTCTGTCCATTTGGTAGACTACAATAGAATTGATGACTATTTTTTGTCTGTCTGTCTGTCCGTTAGGTGGACTATTGAAGAAAATTTATCACGTATTTATTTTGCGTAATTAATTAAATTAGAAGAATCATCGAATTGAAATGTCACATGACGTCACGCTTTTTTATATTTTCTATAAAAACTGTGACGTATCGAGCCCCCACTCCTCAACTTTAATGCCTGTTATCTAAGCCATTTATTGTAAAATTTAAGTAGATAAAAACATACGTATCTAATATTTTTCTATTGTCCGACCGACGAGACTAAATATAATTTCTTTTTTTTTAAAAATCAACCTTTTTGTCCATGAGGAAGTATTTAAAAAAAAAAGATTACTTCCCAAAATCAAACTAGATGTCGCTACGGCACTTTCTTGATTTCTCCATGACGACCCTTCCGGTTTTCTTTCGTGTATCAAACTCAATAAACAACTCATATTCTATTTGTACTGTTTCGTATTTGTATTGATATCTAAGTTTCGAACTTTGCGAATTTCAGTTTTTTAATATGTTAGTTAAAAGGAACGGAAATGACTGTCTTTGGTCCATTCGTTTCCTGTAAAAATCAACTTTTGCTAGAGTCGCCATCTAGTGGAGGTGCTTTTTTGATGCTTTCGTTTTTTTTTAATACTTTCTCATTTATATGATGTATTATACGGAATAGATGTTTAGTCTTTTTATGTATACCGATCCAGGTGTGGACATTGTCCCTGCCGGTGGTGGTGATAGTGCATGGGAACCAGGAACCACACGGCTGGGCCACCGTCACGTGGGACAACGCCTTCAGCCCGCCGGGACGCGTGCCCTTCGCCGTCCCAGATAAGGTACACATTACACTACACTATACTGGGACAATGCCTTTCGTGCCCTTCGCCGTCCCAGATAAGGTACACATTACACTACACTATACTGGGACAATGCCTTTCGTGCCCTTCGCCGTCCCAGATAAGGTACACACTACACTATACTGGGACAATGCCTTTCGTGCCCATCGCCGTCCCAGATAAGGTACCTTGTGGTCTTTTTAGGACGCAGCTGCTCACTAAGACGAGAAATTCGACCCCTAATTGGGTACATTAGGGGATGAAAGTATTTATGGAATCTTCTCATTTCTGGACATAAAAATATTTAGTTAGTTATTTAAAAAGAGATGAAGTTTCTAGATGTTTGTTGGTAGGCGTTAATTTCGGAAACTATTTTACGCGTGCGAAGACAAAGAAACTAGTTTTATATAAAAACTAGCTTTCCGCCAGCGGCTTCGCCCGCGGCTTCGCCCGCGGCTTTTGTATTATACATAAAATCCTTCCTTTTGAATCGCCCTATCTATGAAAAAAACCGCATCAAAATCCGTTGCGTAGTTTTAAATATTTAAGCATACATACGGATATAGGGACAGAGGAAGCGACTTTGTTTTATACTGTGTAGTGAAACTGGTCGCTTACAATTGAAATTTAAATGGGTCCATAACGCGGTTCAAAAAAGAAATAACTTTATAATAATCGCGTTTTTTTATTATTTGTCAGGTCACATGGGGCCAACTAGCGGAAACTTTACGCATTAAGTTCTACTCGGCCACATCGGGAGGCGATCTATCCGAAGATAACTTAAGATTCCTCGCTGAGAAGATATTCAGGTAAGTTGCCCACTGTAGATTAATCTGATAGTTGAAAATCTTCTATATATATGTCGGCGGGTAGTCAGAAGGGGCCATTACGAAGCCCAAATAGATCCTCCATATCGGAGGACTATCTTTAAAATAACACTTCACGCGTGTATACCAACGTGGATTTGTTCCATTTTATCACTTTTCATACGAAAATATAACGAGGTGAGCGTGATGTCGTCGGATGTGTTTACTCCTCGGCGATCGGAAACAGAATGCGTGCCAAAATGGCGGCAATTTAGTTTTCGTTAACGAACTGTCAAAGTCAGTGTCACCATTCTAATAAAATTAAAAGTATCGATGATCACGCTCTCTCTACAATCGAGTATTTAAGTAATTGAGTAACTAGCAATTAAAAAAAAGAAACTGAATCGAACGATCTTCGTAAAAATGATGCGACATATATGTATATATATATATATATATATATATATATATATATAAAATTCTTGCGTTACTGTTTGACAGACAGACAACGTACAGCTGAAACTACTGAGTGTAGAAAGTTGAAATTTGGAATGAAGATTCCTTAGGGAGTGTAGAGGAGTGTTGTGAGAGGATTTTTTCAAACTCCCCCCGATGGGGCTAAATTAGGGGATGAAAGTTTGTATGAAACTTCGTTTCTACAAGTGCTAGATTAAAATTTATTTTTAGGACGTAGGCGCTCACTAAGACGGAATTTCATGAAATTCGACCTTTAAGGGGGTAAATAAGGGGAAGAAATCATATCAAATGTTATATAATAGACTGTCTACAAGGTTGCCAATCATATTCCTTATCAAGGTACTTCACCTTGTCCGGAATTCCTTTCCCAATCGGCAGTGATACAACACTGTAGAGACAAAATAGAAAAAGACTAAAAATATAATAAAAAGCAATGACACTTTTATTATTAGATACATGACACCCGTACATTATTGCGTTTTAAAACTTTTTAAACTTTATTGCGGTAGCGTTACATTATAATCAGAGGTCGGAATTAGGTAGAGTTATTTATGTACTTGCATCGAAATGTTGATATTAATGTGGACCTTCCCGGGCTTTCTTTATTTCTTTCTTTCATTGATGTAAGTTTGGCAACGTCGTTCGTGCAGTAGTTTAAATTGTATAAAAGTAAATAACTTTTTATTTAAATAATCACGGTATTTTTTCTGCTCTTTAAAATTAATCTCGGGATTTAAGGCATATCCACTTTATTCTTTCGCTGTATGAAATCAGTGTAAGTACATGAATAAGTCTACCTAATTCCGACCACTGATTATAATACAACCATAAAGGGGGGGAAGAAATCGAAAATAGTAACCCCCCCCCTATTAGATACATACAGCATACCTATTGTTAGAACGTGATGTATATACTTGGTTAGCTTTCCGCGTCAACACATATCTCTAGACGTAGAACACGATGCACGACAAAATGGCCGCGTTCAATGACGTTATAATATTTTTATTAAAATAAATAAACGTAAGCGTAGTACTTACGCGTGAAATTATATATTTTTTACTTTACTCATTGTCAATGTGTAATTTGTGCATGATTGAGTAGCTCGGTGGCGTAGTGGATAAGCGCCACGGGATGGGTGACCAAAAAATTATTATCTCGAGCTACTCCGTGCTTCGGAAGGCACGTTAAGCCGTTGGTCCCGGCTGCATTTGCAGTCGTTAATACCCTCCAATCCGCATTGGGCCAGCGTGGAGGGTCATGGTCCATCCTCCTTAACCATCCATAAGGAAGGCCTGAGCCCCTGCAGTGGGGACGTAAAAGGGCTGGTGGTGGTGAATTTGTGCATTGTTTAAATACGCGGAAAGATATTTCTACAACTTTTCACAGAAAATTACGAGTGAAAATGAAATTAGCCACGACGCTTACTGAAATGTGACTAAAGTGAAACTCGGGTAATAGGGACGAAAACTGAGTAAAAAAAAAAAGAAATAATTTTTTATGCGTCAGTTGGATAATAGAAAAATATTAGATACGCATTTTTTTGTACTTCAATTCAATAAGAAATAGCTTAGATATATGGCATTAAACTTGAGGAGGGGGGGCACGATACGTCACAGTTTTGTAGAAAATGTACTAAAGCGTGACGTCATGCGATATTTTCACTCAATGTGTCCCCGTATGGTAATAGTTCGTAAAACAAAACCTGACGGACTAACAGACAGAAATAAGTGGACTTTAGTCATGTTTCAGCCTAGCTTTCTAGTTTTCAATATTGTGTAGAAAACCCGTCTAAACTTTTTGTTTTCTCACTATTTATAATGTATTGATCTGGTAATATTAGCTCGGTGGCGTAGTGGATAAGCGCCGCGGCACACGATCGTTGTCGTTAAGCAACTTTCGCGAGGGTCGGTCACGGGATGGGTGACCGAAAAATTATTATCTCTCACTACTCCGTGCTTCGGAAGGCGCGTTAAGCCGTTGGTCCCGGCTGCATTTGTAGTCGTTAATTCCCGCCAATCCGCATTGGGCCGGCGTGGAGGATCATGGCCCAACCTCCTTAACCATCCATAAGGAAGACCTAAGCTCATGCAGTGAGGATTAAATAAAGGGCTGATTATGATGATCTGGTAATGACATGGTTTTTGTGAATGTTTATACTTCTATTAGAGCTGATGAATTTCTTGCTCGTTCTTCTTATCAGCCAAAAGACGTCCTGAACGAGTGGTAGGGAAAAAATGTTGGACGATTCAAAAGTACTTTTAAGAAGTCTATTTGAATAAAGACTATTTTGACTTTGACTTTAATACATTATCGAGTAGCTCGGTGGCGTAGTGGATAAGCGCCGCGGCCCGCGATCGTTGTCGTTAAGCAACTTATGCAAGGGTCGGTCACGGGATGGGTGACCAAAAAATTATATTATGATGATGATGATGATGATCTGGCAATAACATGGTTATTGAGTCCTATTAGAGTCTGAGAGTTTCTTGCTCGTTCTTCTTATCAGCCAAAAGACGTCCTGAACGAGCGGTAGGGAAAAAAAAAATGTTTGACGTTTCAAAAGTACTTTTAAGAAATCTATTTGAACAACGATTATATTGACTTCAATACATCATTGATAAAAAAATTATAATAAGAAATAAAAAAAATCTTCTATTTGTGCGCACTGAAACGTAAATAAAATAGGCATTTGATCAGCCTATTATATCTTGTACATCCGTTTCCAACTACGAGATGACCCTTCCAAAGTATTCCCGGTTCCTGCAGGACCAGTCTGCCGCTGACGGCCCTCGAGCTGAACGCTACCATGGTCAGCTGGACTCAGTTCTGCAAGGACGCGTTGCCCGAGAGGAACTTCACCTTCTGGGAGTGGTTCTACATGGTGGTTAAGGTCACCAGGGACTACCTGAGGACGCTCTGGTGTGATGGGTCAGTTGTTGTCTATATCTAACGGAAGGTCTCTGAATAGGGCATTTGTTAACATTAAAATATACAGGGTTATGGGTAATTAGACCGGATCCTTTTAAGGGGTTTGGGAGGGTCATTTAAAATTATTTTCACTCAACATTGTATATCTGGAAGTTATTTTTTTAAATCCACCTTTGTTTGCAAATTTACAACAACAAAAAAACTTTTTTCTTTATTTAAATTTCTGTAGTTTCTGTTTGGGTTAAGATTATTTGGGTTTTATTATTATTTATCACGAACTGGAATGTAATCTCTCGAAAACTATCAACAAATTAGATTCTGAACATAATTTGTTTTTGTTTCGACTTTTTTAAGGAAAAAAAAAATAAATACATTTTATCACTAAAATGGCTCGCTTTCGGATACATAACGTGAGGTGAATATATTATATACGACCCCTTAAAAGGATCCGGTCTATTTACCTCCGGTATCCGGTATATAACCCTGTATATTAGAAATTATTTGATAACATTAAAATATATATTAAAAATTATTGAATAACATAAAAAATATATTAAAAATTATGGTCACCCTACAAGTTAATAGTGTACACATATTTCACTTTATTTTAAACTTTCCGTCAGCGTACTTGCCCCCGTGGTTCCTAGGGAACTGTTTATTTGGATATCGATTCAAATGTCACGGATATAATTACGGGGACCAATTGAATAGTAAACAATGGTTACTATGGTAACGTTTTAATTCCCTATACAAACTTCTACTTCCATTTTCATCCCTTTATTTGTTGTTTTTCGTGATTCAGGTTTGAATAAATTTTCATATATATTTTTTTAATAATAAAAATTATACAAACAAAATAATAAGTAACCAACCATGTTTTAATGAAAAGGGAGCTTTAAAGATATTTTTTCTTTATCAGAAAACCATAGTTGATGCTGTTTAAAGGTTATTCCACATTTTTTTGTATCAAAACCCTCATTGGATGGTATCCGAGATCCGAGTAAGGAGAGTTCAGGAAAGACTTTACTAACAAGTACTTATAGCTTAACAGCGATTTATTCCAGGCAACCTAAATTGTGACAAGAAATCATATACACAGTAATAAGTAAGCGAGGGTTTGGGGGTGCTCATGGCAAAACATAAAACTATGTATGCAGAGCTTATTAAACTATGTTATGTATGTTTGTATGTCATTATCATTGGACTTTACACTGCAGACTTATAATGGGCTTCATACAGAAGAAACAAGCGGAAGATATGCTCTCAAAATGTTCACCGGGGACATTCCTGCTCCGTTTCTCGGACTCGGAATTAGGGGGGATCACTATCGCCTGGGTCGGAGGTGAGTCTTTAATTTTTTTCATTGTTTTGAAGTGTACGTTCCCATGGGAACTTTGATTTTAAATGTTGTTTTTTGATAAGAATGGAATTTTGATCGATTATGGCTTATTATAGACCCTTTAAAGGTTAAATCTGAATAGTTCCCATGGGAACTATGATATCATTGGTCATAATTTATATATTTGGTGTATCTCAAACTATTCCAACGTTTTTTACTTAGCTTAAAGCTCTTAGTTTCACATGTTCCTATGTGAATTTCGTGGTAGATTTTGGATATTAATAAAAGTAAATGTCAAGCTATTCCGCTGTTTTATGAAATAGTTAAAACTCCAGACTAATACGTTCCCATGGGAACTTCTCAATAGCGTTGATGGTATATGGACGAGAAATGACTTCATTTCTATTACAATATTAAAAATTGCAAATATTTTTTTTTTAATAATTAATTCGTTAAATCGATCCATAGGCGTCATAGAAATTCATTGATAGTAATTAATTAATTCAGAAGCATCTACGTTATCAGTGTTAAGCAACTTTCGCATTGGTCAACTACTAGATGGGTGACCAAAAAAACCTACTATCTTACACTACTCCGTGCTCCGAAAGGCACGTCAAGCCGTTGGTCCCGTCGTTTGTTTTTAACACCCACCATTCCGCATTGGGCCCGCTTGCGGCACGGCCCGTCCTCCTTAACCGTCGCAAATAGGCTGACGATGATGGCGTCTTTCCCGCAGAGGCCCACGAGGTGTACAGTCTCCAGCCGTTCACGTCTAGAGACCTGATGCTTCGTTCTCTGGCCGATAGGGTGTTGGACCTCCCACAGCTTCAGTATTTGTACCCGAGTGTTGCCAAAGACACGGTCTTCTCGAAATATTATACCAAACCGGGTGGGTATATGTTTATTTATCTAAATATATAGTTATATATATCGCACACCTAGATCTTAACTGAGACAACTCAAAAATTTTAGTGAGTTTTGACTTAGTACAATATTCAAATACTCGGTGATCATACGCATCTATCCAACATAACAGATTCAATAAAGGTTCGGGGATGAAACGCTAGATAACTTTAGCTTTCTTTTGTTAAATCAACAGTTGTCGCGCTCCTGCCACGTAAACAAATGTATTGTCAGACCTCCACATTAGTTTTTTGAGTTGTCTTAGTTTAGATGTAGGTGTGCGATATATATATTTATTTATTTATGCATAAATCTATTTTTTTATTATTTTAGGTATAAATGTTTTTGTTTTTTTTTTGTTTGGTGTATACCAAGGGGTCAGCCATAAATTACGTCACACGTTAGGAAGGGAGGGGGAAGGGGGGTCAACGAACTGTGACATTAGAACAATATTTAGTAGAATTTGTATAGACAAACATGTGACAGGGGGGGGGGGGGGGGGGGTTAAATAAACATTAATTTTCTGTGACGTAATTTTTGGATGGCCCCCAATCGATATATATAATAATGGTCGCGTATATGTCGTTAGAGAATGATGTGCTAAAGAATGGCTACGTGAAACCTGTGCTGGTGACCACGCTGCCCCCGTACATGGCGACGCCCGCGTACGCGTCGCCCGACTCTCATCGCAGCACGCCCTCGGTGCACACCAGGTGGGTTGTCTTGTATAATAGAGCGGTCGGCAAAAAAAATATTTTTTTTTGCTGACCGTACTTCATATAAAACGGGTAGTTTCGGCATTTTTTTTTTTGCTGACTGTACTTCGTACAATTTTTTTGTTGACCGTACTTTAGAATAGGTGGGGCTGGGAAAATTTTGGCTGATATAACCTTTTAGTATGGGTAAGGTCAGTATAAAAAAGTTCTGACCGTACGTTACATAGAATAGAGTAGAGTCGGTATTCCTTTTTTGTTGACTGATTTGTTATTTAGAGTAAGTAGGGTAGGCAAAACAATTTTTTTTTTGCGGACCCGTAGCTAGGTATTGCATAAAATGAAATTTAATAAAAATAAGTTTCTGATGTTTTGTAGTATTTTTTTTTTCTTTTGTGTGGATTTAAAAGATATATGTAGATGTTACATTTGTTCTCGGGTCAGTATTGGAAAGTCTGAAACTATTTGAAGGTTTTTTTTCAACTGCACCAAAAGTAATTCACAGGTATATCGAACCTGAGCATTTTAAAAACAAAACTTACATTATATCTGCTTAGATAACGATTGAAATGCTTAATGTTACTATGAAACTTGATTAAAATACATTATTTTTTATTTAAACCTGTCTGTTTGTCCGGCTCCGTAATTCCTGAATGAATGAATCTATTTAAGTATGTTTTTGTCAGTCGAAAACCTTGTTCATATACAATTATATGTGTGTATGTATTTATATTAAATTTTCACTTAGCATATTTATTTGATATTTTTCTTAACTTTGTGCATGATCACCTGCCACTAGTATCAATCAATAGGTTGCCTGGAAGAAATCGCTGTTCAGCGATAAGGCCGCCTATTGCACAACTGTAATTAATTTATATTATGTTCCTTACAATGTATTTCTTTTATACTTTTTTGTGCAATAAAGTGTTAAATAAAAAAATATTATAATAAAGGACAACATAAGTATGTCAAAGAAATAAATGTATGGATAAATTAATTAAATATATTAGGTATAATTATAGTGAAACAACCGGATGCGTGGCAAATAAGGTTTTTATTAATTATAAAAAGTACAATACAGCGAAGTGGGGCTAATGTGACATTTTTTTTTATATTTTATATCAGGCTAAGACATTGTTAATTCTGTTTCTACAATAATACTATTATATAGAATATTGTAATACCTACAATCTTTGCCGATATGAAACAGCTGATTATATTTTAGTGAATTCAGTTTTGCTGCCATAGTAAAAGTAGAGTCAGTATACTTAACTAATCCACTCCACGGAGTCCCGGCATATAATAATATTACACTTTATAAATTAATTTAATATATTTTTTTTGATCTAATACAAAATGATAACCATATATATTTTAAAAAGAATAATAATAGAAAATAAATTAAAACTACTTATCTAAACTATGTCTTAAAATAATAAATAAAAAATGTCTCCCAGCTCATTGCCTACTGGTAAGGTACCCAGAAGGCTGCGAGCGTTTCCTCTTTGAATAGCTAAACTAAGCCTTCTGATCACCTGACTTGTCAAAAAGTGTATTTTTTAACTCTTGATAAAGACGCGCCAGGGCCCCACGGACCCATCGTTTAATTCAATACAAAATATCCCGCCTTAATATATTATGTCTAGAAATCATTGATAAAAACTCATTTCTTAGGACATCTATGGTTGCAACTATAGGAACAGTTTTTCTTTTATTGGTACCTATTTTACTAGTAGCAGTTCCACGAATACAGTACCGTATTTCCGAAATTATTAATCTCAACTATAATGTTACTTCTGCATTATTTCTCAGATATTAATCGACTAGTTATTTCTAGAAAAAAAAAAATATAAAAAAAGTTTTCAACTAACCTATTACCCATAAATTACAAATTCCACACACAACAGGATTCCGACTGCAACGCGAATCTTGTTTAGCCAAGCTTATCTTTAACTAGCTGTGCAAAAGTAGCCCAAGTTACTCCTTATTACATAAGGTATCTGCCAGTGAAAGTCCCGTCAAAATCGGTCCAGCCGTTTCACAGATAGCCGGAACAAACAGATAGACAAAAAAACTTATTTTGGAATATTTACCGTGTATACATTATATGCACTTGATAAAAAGTTTGTAATATTTTAATATTACAAACAGGGATTCAAATTTTATTTATCTTTGTAGATTTTGTACTTCTCTGTTTTCTAAAATGTTTATTTTTTCATGAACTTCGATTATTTTTGTCGGTGAAACGAGAACCAGTTATTTCGATACCAGTTTTTTTAAACATCTTAAGATATACACAATTTGTATCTAAGTAGAAATAATGTAAGTTTTAAAATGCGCCATATTAATTATACTCTAACATTTGGGTCATTATAATAGGTCACATTTGACATTTATCAGCCTCAACTACAACATACATATTATATTTATTTATTATACATACGACAATATAACGTTTTAATTAAATTATGAAACCTCTATTAATGCAATAAATCAATGTATTTTTATTCGATTCACATCTGTTAGAGAACCATATCGATTCTTTATATTAATCGGATATTTTAAGCAGGTCTCCTCACTAACAATTTCAGATTGATAGTTGTCAAATGCGGCGTCTTATATAAATCCAACTGTACCCTGTACCACGATCGCCGAACTCAAAGAATTTCCTACGTTGGATTTTGTACCTACTTATAAATATATACGCTTTACTTTTACTATACTGTGACAAAATTGGCTAGATGCATTTGTGCGAGCGCAATAGCAATATGTTTACGTACGAGGGAAAGAGATGCAATGCCGGGTCATTGTAGGAAATTCTCTGTGCGGCGACCGAGATATAACCGGGCACTGGGAATTAAGCTTGGAACATTTCTGTTCACAGTTCTGTCCGAACAATTTTGTTTCTTTTATTCGATAAACTTTTTTTTCGAATACTTTTTTCCATATTGGCCTGTTACAATGATGAAGTATTTAAAAAAAAAATAGTTCCCGAAATTAAACTAGATGTCGCTACGGTACTTTCTTGATTTCTTGTCATGAAGAAAACCTTTCCGGTTTTCTTGCAAGTTTAAAAGTAAATTAGTTTTCAAAACTCAATAAACAACTCATATTTTATTTGTACTTTTTCGTATTTTGTATTGATATCTAAGTTTCGAACTTTGCGAATTTCAGTTTTTTAATATGTTAGTTAAAAGAAACGGAAATGACTGTGTTTGGTCGATTCGTTTCCTGCAAAATCAACTTTTGCTAGAGTCGCCATCTAGTGGAGGTGCTTTTTTAGTGCTTTCTTTTTTTTAAATACTTCCTCATTGCAGCGTATGTTTGTATTTATTTTGTTTCTTTTTTTATAATTTTTGTTTATTCTCTCCCTCTCGTTTAGGTACATGTTAGACTTTTAATATACATCGCGGGAATCAAGAGTTAATTACTTTATTTTTAATTTAATTTTTTTTTAGTTACAGTAGAAACTTAATTATCCGAACCGATTGGCACGTAAACTAGTTCGGATAATCTAAATACGAGTTTTATAAGACAAAATAGATCAAACAGTTTTTTTTATATAAAAACTGTATTTGATATATAATTGTTTGAAATATAAAACTCCTGAACAAAAAGTTGTAAGTCTATCTGTCCTACTTATGCGTAGCAGTAGCGAGCGACACATTTTCGGCGACGTTCGGATAACGAGGATTTGTTGTTCGGATATTCGGATATCGAGGTTCGGATATTCTGATATTCGGATATTGAGTTTCGGATAATCGAGGTTCTACTGTAAATAATTTTAATATTAAGTTTGTTTTTAAGTAGTCACATCCTGAGTTTATAATGAGTTTTTTTTTATAAGTTTACATTTTTATTATTTCGAAATTCACACGAGTGCCTTGTAATTTTTTTAACTTTTTTTACTGTGTGTTTGGGCGCAGATGTCGAGTTAATCTCGATTTTGAACTTTAATGCTATCATGTTAAAGTGCAAATCGACCAATTTTCTTAAGAAAAAACTTAGCAGTATGCAAATATAATTTTCGATATGTATTTCCTTCTAGTTGCGCTCCTACCATACTGCAGTTGTAAGAAGATTCACGTTTGCGTATAAATGGTAGAAAAAAAAAACTGTCAATTCCATTAAGTAGTTTTACCGCAACGTTCTGTCAGTAGAATGTAGCGCCAGCGCAAAACGTATTAGCAAAAAAAAAATATTTTTCACTGTTCTGCTAAAATTCGGCGTCGAATTCGACGTCGAGATTTGTCATAACATAGTTGAATGAAATGCAAATTTATAGAATAGGTAATAAGTGTTATATTACATTGCGTTTCTGAGTTCTAGTTCGCTCGCGTGTTCCCTAGGGAACTGTTTATTTGGATATCAATTCATATCATGACACAGGATAAAATTACAATGACAAATCGAATAGTAGACAATGGTTACTGTGGTAACATTTTAATTCCCTATACAAACTTCCACTCCAATTTTCATTCCTTTATTTGCAGTTTTTCGGGATAAAAAAAAAGATATGACGTAACTTCCAATAGGTGACAGTTTTTTTTATATAGGTCCAATAGTCGCGGGGCCTTTTCTATGCTAACAGAGAAATCTTTCCTTTTTATAACATTGGTATAGGAAATTTTTTAAAAGTTTTTACAATTATTAATTAATAAAGCATCGAGCCGGTATGTTGAACGTTTGCGCTGGTGCCGCCATCTACGCAAAACTTTGCGTAATACTGCTTATCCCCTCCCGGTCTCAAATGTGTAGAATTAAGTGCAATATTGTTAGCTGTAAGTATACGCTGAGAGTTAAATGAATGTTAATTATAATTAAGAAAGTTCTCGAACATTTTAATAAGGGAAATATGAATCGGTCGTCGATTAAATAGTGAGACCTACAGTGAGATACAACTAACTTGTCTCGCTGATGTACCTGGATGGATAAATATCGAAGCGCGGCAAATGTCGACCAATCGGAATGATTTAAGTATCACGCCATCTAACGGTTCA